AGAATGGTCTGACCATATACCGTTGCAAATAGAATGTAATTTAAAGTTGTTAAAATCTAAATATGTTTCTTCTAGTAAAAATTACTCTGGTAATAAGATTGTCTGGGGCATAAATAATTTAACTCAAAGAAATAAATATTTTGAAAGTTGTAATTTAGAATTAAAAGAATTTAATTATCCTATAGAATTTAGTAATTGTGCGGATAAATGTCTTAAAAAGGTTGTAGACTACTTTTGGATAGTATGGTTTGTACGATAAAATTGTAAAAATTCTTTCAGACGCTGCTGTTAGTAATAATAATTACAGTAAACGAAAGTGGAAATATAAAATAGGTAGGAATAAGTATGTTAGAGTCTCAGGAATGTTATTATAAATGGTTGTTGTTTGACAAACCAGGTTGTGGTTGCATTTATAAAGACATATATAAGTCACTTAAAATATTTAAAATGGAGTCAAAATAATTCCCAACAAGTTAAAATGGATTTATTGGCTGACCATCACAAAGAAAGGAAGTTTCATCAATTTTGGAAATGTACAAATAATTTAAGTGGCAAGGTGAGCCTTCCTGCGAGTGTCGCTGGCTGTTATGAGCCACTTGAAATTGCAGATGCATTCAGTCGTAATTTCAGAGTACAATCTTCTTTGGGCGCATGGTTGCCGGAGCTCAATGCCGAATGTCAAAATGCCATGCCTAGTGATCGTTTCTCCGCCAAGGAGGTAGCGTTTGTGATTAAGGACATGACTAGGGGAAAATCCCCAGGCCACGATGACCTCAGTGTTGAGCATCTGCAAAATGCCGGCGTACATTTGCCTAGAGTCTTGGCAATGTTTTTCTCGCTGTGTCTGAATCATTCCTATTTACCTGATAAACTGATGTATACTATTGTAAAACTCATTGTTAAAAATAAAACGGGTGACATATCGGAACTGTCATATTATAGACCAATTTCATTGGCCACTGTTATTGCGAAAGTTTTGGACAGTCTGCTTGATAAACGCTTAAACAAACATTTACATTTGCACGATAGACCAGGGTCGATAATTTTAAAAATGGTGAAAAGTAAAAAAAAAATATAGTAGGATGATTATTAGAAAAGGTAGAGAATATAACAAAAATAAAAGGAAAAATAAATTACGGGCGATCTGAGGTCGGGAAGGGGGAGGGGGTAAGTTTTTAAGGGTAAAAAATGGTTAATCTCGATTTCCGGTAAAACTGCAAGTCCTATGAAAAAAAGTTAAATGGCAAAGCTGTAGGTAATAAAAAGATCTACAACTCTTATATCGACACTTTTTTCACATAACCTCAAAATTTATGTGAAAAATGCGAATAACCGAGATTTTGGTTCTTGATTTTTATTTTTTGCAAAAAAAAATATTTTTTCACGAAATTTTTTGAAAACTTACCTTTGTATGTCCCAAACATACAGTAATTTTTTTGATTTAAAATATTCATTTTTTCACCTTATTTTGACTTAATATCCAAAAAGCACCCTAATTTTCAATCGAAAATACTCACGTCAAAATATCTGCTTTTTTAAAAAAGTTGGTGTGTTTTTTGTTTGTTGAAATCTCTACTTTCTGATGGTATAAAAAAAAATATACACTACTATGATAAATGTTCTCAGAAAATGCAAATTAATAATGAAAAAAACTCGAATCCGAAAATCCTATTTTTAATACCTACTTACAACAACTATTTTTGCATGTTTTATGGATTTGTAATTTTTCAGTTTATCAATATAACATGAAATCTTACGTTTTTCGAGTAATTTAAGTGTAAATTTTAAAAAATAGTTCAAAATTATACATAATGATTCAAATCAATTTTTCGGATTGGAGTTTTTTTCATTATTAATTTGCAGTTTCTGAGAACATTTACCATAGTAGTGTATATTTTTTTATACCATCAGAAAGTAGAGATTTCAACAAACAAAAAACACCCCAAATTTTTTAAAAAAGCAGATATTTTGACGTGAGAATTTTCGATTGAAAATAAGGGTGCTTTTTCGATATTAAGTCAAAATAAGGTGAAAAAATGAATATTTTAAATCAAAAAAATTACTGTATATTTGGGACATACAAAGGTAAGTTTTCAAAAAATTTTGTGAAAAAATATTTTTTTTTGCAAAAAATATAAATCAAAAACCAAAAACTCGGTTATTCCCATTTTTCACATAAATTTTGAGGTTATGTGAAAAAAGTGTCGATATAAAAGTTGTAGATCTTTTTATTACCTACAACTTTGCCATTTAACTTTTTTTCATAGGACTTGCAGTTTTACCGGAAATCGAGATTAACCATTTTTTACCCTTAAAAACTCACCCCCTCCCCCTTCCCGACCTCAGATCGCCCGTAATTTATTTTTCCTTTCATTTTTGTTATATTCTCTACCTTTTGTAATGGGTTTCATCCTACTATAATTTTTTTTGGTCTCAAAAATTATCGACCCTGGTCTACGACGCACAGTTTGGTTTCAAATCTGGGCTGTCAACTGAAAGTGTAATTTTTTGCCTTAAGCAGACTGTTCAATATTATACGGTTCGAAAAACACCGGTATACGCTTGTTACCTGGACCTGTCGAAAGCATTTGATTTGGTATCATATAATATACTTTGGCAAAAACTAAAATTTGAAACCAGCCTTTCTGATGAGTATATATCGCTGCTTAAATACTGGTACAGTGATCAAAGAAATAGTGTTCGATGGGCGGGTGCCTATTCTAGTGCACACAAGCTTGAATGTGGCGTAAGACAGGGAGGAATAACCTCACCACGTCTTTTCAATCTTTACATCAATGCGCGCATTGGAGAGCTCAGCAGCACTGGTGTAAGTTGTCACATAGACGGAGTCTGTGTGAACAATATTAGTTATGCTGATGATATGGTGCTTCTGAGCCCTTCAGTGGGTGCTTTGAGAAAATTATTGGGAATTTGTGAACGTTATGCAGAAGCTCACGGGCTTAAGTATAACGCGAACAAAAGTGAGTTTATGGTATTCAAAGCTGGGACAAAATGTATTAGTCCTGATTTACCTGTCAAAGGAGATTGCTCAGCTTCTATACATGTTTGGCCTAAAGACCAATAATCATGAAACATTGTTTCCTAGATTCGAAATTATATATAAATTACTGTAGAAACGAATATTATCGACGGACACCCCTGAGAACTTCTATAAACCATATACACTGAACATATTAAAATAATAAAAAATAAATAAGTTATATAGTAAACTAGGGAAATCAAGCCAAGTACCGAAATTATGTATTAGATTCAGGTATATAGAGCATGTAGATTAACAGATAGTTGCCTGTTTTTAAAGTTAATGCATAAGAGTAACTTTTAAAATCAGGTGTCATTTCCGGTTATAATAAGGTAGGTACTCTGTGACAGAAACTGTGTGATGATTGTGAATGAACCACAGATTAGAGAGAATTTTTAAACTCTCGTTAACCAAAGAAAGCTAAGAGATTTAGGTTCTATAGCCATATATTCAGTAGCTTTATTATTTTTGTTGTGTTTTTAAGATATTATATTATATATTTTAGATTTTTAGTGTATCACACCTTATAATTTTATTTATTTATTAATTTATAGTCAGGGAACGTAGGCTCATAGATAGATACCTTAAAGTCTAAGATATATACAGATTATAATGTGTTTATGGAGGTGTTTGGCGAGAAATGTATGGCAATAGACTTTATGATGTCGCCTACCATGTATAATAATTGTCTGAGCACATTTGCATCTAGTGAAAATGATAATATTATAGTGGTGGATATTAATACCACAGTGTAATAAAAAAAATGAATTATTTTATCGATCTTTACAAAATAGATTTGTTTTAATGTTATATAAACAACTTCGATCAGTCTTTGGCTGAATGTTACTACACCCATAGCCATTAAAAATGATTCGTATGTTTTCCAACCCGGTAATATTAAAAATCCTTTTTAAAGTAAATATATTATACAAAGGTGTCCGTTGAAATCTAATGACTGTAAATTAAATTATAAATTACGCCAAGAATTACCGTGTGTATCAATATTTTTTGTGCAATTAGGCCAATTTGAGCAATCTCCTTTGTAATGCAAATTTAAAGTGTTTCAATATAAATACCTTGGCCACTGGGTTACAGATACGTTAAAGGATGATATAGATATTGATAGGGAACGTAGGGCGCTGGCAGTTCGATGTAATATGCTGGCTCGCAAGTTCGCACGTTGTACAAAGCAAGTAAAAATTACACTTTTCAAGGCGTATTGCCAGTCTTTCTACACGTGTAGCCTGTGGGTCCGATTTACGCAGAGGGCTTACAGCGCACTACGGGTCCAGTACAATAATGCTCTCAGGGTGCTGTTGGGTTTGCCGTGGTGTTGTAGTGCCTCAAGTATGTTCGCAGATGTGCATATTGACGGATTTCATGCCATAATCAGGAAACGCTGCGCGGCACTGCTGAGCTTAATACGTGGCAGTACCAACAGCATCCTGTCGGCACTGGTTGACAGGTGGGATTCTCCACTGTTGGAGCGCTGGTTGCATTTGCATGCGAAGCCCCCGGGCCGCATGTAGGGGGTGCCTTGTGTTCCAGCAGGGGATGATCATATTATTTTATTTTATTTGTAATCTATTTTATACTTTACTAACATAGTTTTTAAGGTACATTGTTACTAACATTCTATGGACTGTATATTGTCAGAGAATAAATTATTATTATTATTACCTAATAAAGTATTAATTTATCTATACTTGGAACTAGATATCTTGTATATTTTTCAGTTTTCAGAATGAGTTTTTCAGTGTGAAAGGGCTAAAAAGTGGCTGTATCGAGATATGCGTGGAGAGAGCGCGGCGCGGCAGACACGGCGGCACCGGCGACGCGGCGCGCGGTAGCGGCGGGCGGCCGCGGAGGGGCGCGCGCGGCGCCGGCCGCGGCCACGCGCCAGTCCGCCTCGCCACGCCGCGTCGGCACTACGCTCACGGTGACCGCCCGACGGCCGAGTGAAACACGCACGCGATCGACGTATAATACGCGCATGTGGTCACATTTTGCGAAAGACCTCAAGATACCATAAGGTCTTTTGAAAGCTAGCTTAAGATACCATCATAAGGTTATTTAAACCGGCTATTAAAGCTCGGTAATAGTTTGTAGAGGTTGTAGTGAGTGAAATTTTGGAAAAAGCGGAAGTTTCATGTGAGTGTGTAGGGGTGCGGGTCGGGCGATGCGCGTGCGGCGAGAGAGGGCGCGCACTGGAGGCGGTATGAGGACCAGGTGAAGCCGAGGCTGATGGGGCGCGGGCGGGTGCTGCTGCTGGCGGTGGCGGCCTGCGTCGCAGCGGCGGCGGGACTGTGTGGCAGCGGTGGCGGTGGCGGTGGCGGGGGCGGCGCGGCGGCAGCGGCGGGCTGCGCGTGCGGCGACGGAGGCACGCGCATGGACTGCCGCGGCGCCGGCCTGCGTCGTCTGCCGCCGCTTCACGAGAATTTGTTATCATTGTAAGTATAATCGAACCAGAACTAAATTCAACTGTTATATCAGAGAAACATCGAAAAAAACTTATATTAATCAAACACATTTACTGTTCAGTCTTTGATTAACAGCAACACCATTGTAATTTACGAAATGTTCAGTAAACCTTTAGTATGGAAGTCCATATCGAGTTTTGCTACATGAGGCAAGTAGTGGTAAAAGAAATCAAGATCACTTACAAAATATAATATGTTGATGGACTCCGACAATCAATGAATTGATAAACATAATTACTTAAATAGTTGTGGATCATCAGAAATATTATTCTTAAATAAATTTATTTGGAAACATTACGAAACAACTATGGTACCACAACCACCCAGACTCGAAACAATACAGACAAGTTTTACTTACGTTTGTATAACGGATGATAAAGACCGTGACTTAGGAAAAATATTAATGACGATTTTCCACAGTGTAGATATGTCAAAATGCAACTTTTTCGAAAATGTAGAGACGCGTTGATGTCTTTTATACTAAAGTTAATTTTTTGTTTCTAAAAATAGAAAAAGAGTGATATACTTTCTCTGATTCTGAAGAATAGTATTATAAATAATTTACAGTCTTGTTTAATATTCAAAGTAATTTATAATTAAGATAAGATTATCAAGAGTCCAGCTTTCTTTTGGTATGTATTTTGGTAGAAAATAAACGAATTCGCCACAGGTATCGGTCCGAATTTTTGGTGACTCTGCCAACTTTATTATTTTTTCTAGTAATTTTTTCCTTTGATTTAAAGTACAGCAGTTTAATACTCAAACAAAAACTTAATAAAAAGTATGCAGAAGAAAGAAAAAAAAGAAGAAATAAATCCACAGAATTAGAGAGTAAAAGTGTGTAAAAGGAAAGTCCTAATTCCAAAATTCTTGTTCACGTTACACTATTGTTTATATAATTCCCGCTCGGATTGGAGCCCCGGCGCCCGGCCCCCGTCGCCCGTCTGGAGAATAATACTCCCCTTCACAGAAGATCACACTGAAGTATGAGACTGCCGTTTTGTGTGCATAAAGATTAAGCAAGAGCTTTAAAATATTTAGCCAGAAGGATAAAGAAGCTGTCGAAACTTACTACTCTTAATGAGATCCCGCAGGCAAAATGTGTGAATTACCATATTACTGTATCTGATTAATTTAAGTAATTTTGATGAACGTAATATTTTAGAAGGTAAATTGTAGGGCTACTTACAAGAATAAAAGCTCTGCTTGGTTACCGCAAATAAAGAAATTCCAATCAATTAGTTAAAGCTAGGTTTGTTAGACAAGATTTAAATTTTAGCAGAAACAGTAAAAATGCTACCCTGTGAGTACGAGGTTCGTAATATTCTACAACAATGGAATAAATGGCTCTAGTAAGTGGGCCCTTGGTCCACACTCTTAAAAACGAATTCCGTGAGAAATATCTCGGCCCAACGCATTGCAAAATGAAATAGTTTATAGCATTTTTGCACAAAATTTGTAGTTTAATACATACATTCAAATATTTTTGTTTAAATATAGTCTTTAAAGAAATATCCTGCTTATTAAATTCTTCGTTATATATTTTTTTTGTTTTAGGAAACTTAAAAGGAAATACCTTTTTATACGATAGGATCGTTTGAGAGGTACTTTAATTGTAAACTACATCAAAGAAGTTTAAGCAACATGCATCATTTATGGAAAGTGCTAGTTTTATTAGTTGATATCTCTTATCTATTAGACAAGTCCGTCCGTCTGTCTGTGGTGCTGTTTCAGCGGCCAAACCGTAAGAGATAGACAAAGAGAATATTTAAGTTATAAGTTAAGAATAGTCTGATAAGACTACAAACCGGATTTGAGTAACGTAGCACTTCCGGTTTTCGGGAAATCAGGTTTTGGTGAACATTTGGTTCACTGGTTTGCTAGTTTTATATAATCGTCATGAAATACGAGTATACAATTTATTCAAAGGGTTTTGATTTAGTCTAATACTAAGTACTTTGAATAAAGTGAAAGGGCCAACACATTTATCTTTTCACTTTTTACGTATATTTTTTGTAAGTTTTTAATCAAATTTTTATTTCAATATTTTAAATTACTAGTAAATACTCTACAAACAACGCTGCTATTATCATTTATTCATTGATCGCGAGCATTCTAATAAGCCCAATTTATATATTTTTGTTAAAAAATATTCAGATTTTAAATCGTTATTCAGGATTACCTACTTACTTCCCTGCAATAGCTTTGCCTTGTTGTTGTTTTTTTTATTCTATCTGTTTTTAGCTGTATTTAGTATTTGTATTTTTAGAAAATTGACACATTATTCATAAGATCTATATGTAATGGTGTGTATACCTATATTTTAGTTGCATAAAAATTAAAAAAATCGTTTAAGTGGACTATTACGTGTTAGTGACGACTTCCGTGACCGAGTGGTTTGTACGCCGGGTTTCATGGTGTCGCCGACTCGAGAGTTCTGATCCGGGTTCAAATCCCTGTGGGGTCAGATGTTAGTGTGACGAATGCGAGCATTTGTACTCCAGTCATAGATGGTTAATATGTATTTCTATATAAATATACTTATAGTACAGTACATGTATTCTATCCGTTACCCTATTATCCCATACCACAAGCCTTATAGTGCTTACTTTGGGGCTAGGCTAATTTTATTGATGTGAATGTTGGAAATATATATTTTATTTATTGTGATGTATTTGTATATGTTTAATTGGTAAGCCTTAATGAATGAAATTAAAAAAAAAATACTGACACCATCAACTTATCGATTACCATATGTAAGAAATACTTAAAAATAAAAAGTGCACCAAATTCTAGATCTAATAGTAATTATGAAATTAGGAAGAACCTTTTCTGAAATGGGAAATGAGCTAATGATCTCCAAAACCCTGAACAGATCTTCATAAATTTTACCTAAGTACCATCTTAATTATGTCAGCTTTTTAATTAAAAAAACGCATCGAAATTGGGCCTTTCGTTTAGTAGCTACGATGCCACAGACAGACACACAGATACACAGACCCCCTAAAAACCCCCCTCATTTTCCGTCAGGGTTTAATGGACATAAATTATTAATGTTAAAAAAAAAGAAATTGATAAACGGATTGCAGTGGGGGGACCTAAACTATTAAAGAATGTTACACTGAAAGAAACACGGAAAGGAATGATCTAAAAGTAGTTGATTGTTTTTAGAGAACTTATGCGAGAAACATTACCAAACTAAAGTTACTTTCGTAGTTCTTACAAAATGAAAAGTTCCTTAGCTCGGTGTGAAAAATACTTTGGTTTTCTTTTATCCTTTTATAAATTCATACTAAGGGCACGGTAATAATATATACAGTATTCTATCTTCATACAAACGGTCGGAAAGCGAATCATACCTACGCCACTCGAGTTCGGGGGAATCTCGGGGGGCACCCAGTCGCGAATAATTTAATATGGCAAAGAACAAACGACGATATTGTGCTGTTTTTGGTTGCTTGAACTCTTTAATTTTTTTTTTTTTTTTTTTATAGATAGGTCCGACAAATGACTCCACCCCACCTGATGTTAAGTGGAGGTGAAGTCCAGACGCGAAGATAGCTGATACAGCAGTTCTACCTGCCACACCAGCCATCCTCACCCTGCCGGCCTGCATGTTGCTTCTTCACGCCTCTTTTAAAGGATCCCAGGTTGTAAGAGGGAGGGAACACGTGAGCGGGCAGAGCATTCCATTTACGGATAGTACGACAAAGAAATGAGTCACCAAATTTCTTTGTACGCGTTGGAATTGTAGCCACAGTTAGACGGTGACAACGTAAGCCAGCGCGCGTGGTCCTCTGAAGGAAAGGGGAAGGTGGAATAAGAGAGAATAACTCCTCAGAACACTCGCCGTGGTACAGACGATAGAACGCGCTTAGTGACGCCACGTCACGGCGTAATTGAAGAGGCTCGAGGTGTTTAGACACCTCCTCATCACCTATGATGCGTATTGCGCGCCGCTGTAACCTATCCAAAGCATCGAGCAAGTACTTGGCGGAGCCATCCCAGAGGTGCGAGCAATATTCCACGCAAGACCGAACCTGCGTCTTATATAACAAGCATAGTTGCTCGGGCGTGAAAAAACGCCGCACCTTGTTCAGGACTCCGAGTTTGCGTGAGGCTGTTTTTATCACACTTTCGATGTAATTTTTTGGATTTACATAAGTCACAGCGAATCTCCATACCGAGCATGGTGATACTGCTCTCTAGCTCCAGTGTTGTGCCCTGAAGAGAAGGACATAAAAGGAATGGCGACGTTTTTGCCGTGAAAGCGCAGACCTGGGTTTTCTTAGCATTGAACTCAACCAAGTTCTTGGTACCCCATTCAGAAATGTGGTCCAAAGCCTGATTGAGTTCAATGACAAGATTCTCCCGTTTCTCCTTGGTTACCGCCTGCCCAGCCGCTGCTTGTCCGAGATACCCCGCATGCACTGTACTGTCGTCTGCATAGCAATGAATATTCCCAAGAGGAATTAGGTCATTGATATGCAGCAGAAAGAGAGTGGGGGATAGGACGGAGCCCTGGGGAACGCCGGCATTCACTAACATGAACCGCGAACTGCTACCATCCGTAAGGACACGAATTCTACGCTCATGCAGGAAGTCAGCTACCCAAGAACAGAACTGGGCCGGCAGACCGTATGCCGGAAGCTTGGAGAGAAGGCTTTTGTGCCAGACCCTGTCGAATGCCTTGGCAATGTCTAGGCTGATAGCCAACGACTCGCCCCGCTTGTCGATAGCCTCACCCCAGATATGAGTCAAGTACGCTAAAAGATCACCCGTCGATCGTTTCGGTCTAAAACCATATTGACGATCATTAATCAGGGAGTGATCCTCTAGGTAGCGGGTCAGATGGTTGTTAAGGACCTTTTCTAGGACTTTACATAATACTGAGGTGACTGCTATTGGCCGGTAGTTTGCCGGGTCTGAGCGATCCCCTTTTTTGGGTACCGGTTGCACGTTAGCATTTC